CTGCCTTCGATCCACCGGTACCAGAAGTACAAAATCCAAAAATGTCAGAAATGGTGGTTTCAAAAAACGTCTTTTCCAAAAATTGTCTTCTGGTTTAATTTCAATAAAACTCTGCTATGCAATGAGCTAATTGCAGTGCACTGCACCCTGACTAAGAGGAGGAAGCTGGAACTTCAGCACATCACACGTAGGTAGAGGCCCAATGGCTCTTTGTTCACTGCAAGGTCACCTCTGGGGCTGAGCAGGCAGACAGGCAATGAAGGATTCTGCTTATTTCTTAAAAACAAACCTACATTGGGAAGTAAAGCAATTACCTCACTGGGCTGATGCTCCTAGACATCAGCTAAGGGCCGTCCCGACCACACAGCTCCCAGTGCGCTCATGGAACACTCGAGGCAGCAGCTGGTGACCAGCTCGCTCTTGGAGGTCTGGTTTGCCAGGACCCTCAGGATTGACTTGATGCACTGAAGATTCTCTCTCAACCTACACAAACACCTGCTGTGTTCAACACAGCAAGGAGGTTTAAGCTACACAGGGGGTTGCTCTGCTTTCTCTGAACCATGAAAAAGAAAAAAAGGCATTTCCTAAACAATATAAAACCTTAACTGAGTACTCCAGAAATCAATAAATATGGGGCACCAACCAAACTAGATTTTATCTAATTACAGTAAAAATGTCACCGATTATACTGATATGTTTTCATACAAAAATGGTTATGGATTTGATGAAAACATCAACATATTCCTGGCTGCTATTCAGCTTCAGTATGAATGTTCTTATTCCAGAATAAAAACCCCTTATTTACCATTAACTTGGCCTATTTCAGAAGTATCGAAAAGTAGAAGTTCAACAAACCCAACTATTTTTGAGTAACTCTTCAGATAGAAGAGTTCGAGTAACTCTACACATAGAAAAGTGCCAAGATTTATAATTTACCCCTTACATGAACTATACCAAGTACAATAAAATTAACAGAGAATGTAAATAATGAGATGTTGGGAAAAATCAATACAACTGCAAAGATCTGCTTTATTAAGAATGAAGTCCATTGGTTGTAGTGACAAACAAATAAAAGCTATGTACTGAATTTCTCAGCTTCTCGGCCTTGTTTCACTCTTCTTATTTCTGTCTTCCCTCTTCACTAACTGTACATTCTCTGATAGCAACCAAGATCTACCTCCTAGGTAAATTATATATGACAAAAGAAAGTATCATCCGTCCACACTCGTTTGCCATCGGTATTTGCAGTCAGAACTGGGACAGCAGCAGAGCTGCCGGTTCAGTTAATCTGAAATTTCTGGGAAGCCCTCGTTAGGCCTGCAGGGGCTGTCACCCACCAGCCTCATCTGTAACTGCTGGGAGCTCTCCAGCACTGCCACCTTCCCAGAGCTGACAGGCATCAGCTCTACTGCAGCCAAGAGATTAATCTTCAGGTCATTTTTAAATCTGATAAAGCTGCGTGTCTCCGAAGCGTGACACAAGCTGCTTCATCCCTGTGCTCCCTGTGACACCTCAGCTGCTCCCAAGGCCTGGCCTTAACCAAAGCCTTGGGGCAGGAGTTGCTGTCCAAAGCTGCCTCCCACCAGACCCCAACCCTCAGAGCCTGCAAGCTGAGCTTATCCCTGGGACACAGTCTTGCCATCCCAGCACCTTCCTTGGCCACGCACTCACTGCTCAGCCTGGAGGTTACTTTGTGCATGAATTTAGTAAGTTTTGAGTGGAACAAAATCCCACACTGCTGCATCCTGTTGCCATTCCCAGCAGAACAAACCCAACCCACCAAAGCTCAGTTCTCTCCCTCGTCGCGACTCCTCCTCCTCTTCCCACAAATCCAAAACCCCAAACCAGTCACTCCTACACCAGATTTGGTATATGTGACCATAAATGACAAATTCTGATATTAAGCTTTATGTCTGGGATTATGCCAAACAAACCACTTTGATCCTTAATATGCACTGAGTTATTGAAGTTTTTTAAACCAAATGATTCCACTAGAGACACCTCCTTACCACACTGGGCTGTTATTTCTCGTGTGGAACTCACTCCCTGTGCTCCTGTGAGCCAGAGACAGAAGCTTTGTGCTGAAGGGACAGGTTGCTGACAGTGCTGTCTCAGACCTCCCTGTCAGTCCTATTGCAGGCAAACTGAGTAACTGTGGGCAGCAAAGTCTGGTTTAGCATTGCAGGAGCCAAGCCAAGGAAAGCCTTACAGAGGAAGTGATGCCAAAACTTCTAGAAAAGGGGATGTGAGAGCAGCAGGGCTAAAGGTTAACCAAACTGCAACTGCTTGGGTTTCTCCCTTTCTCAAGAAAATTATACAACAATATATGTGATAAATGTTTATATTTCAGAGACAGAGAGGTAATAATATAATAACAACAAGGCCACCGTCTGTTGCCAAGTCTACGCCTTAGAAGGGATGGAAAAAAGCCCACAGAAGTTACAGAACTCTGCAAACACAACTAATGAGGAAACAAGTAGATGCATGACATCGTGCAAGCCAAACCACACTGGAGATAAGACCAAAACTTTACCCTAAATGGACACACCACATGTGAAATCCCCACTCAGACCGTCACCCTGTGTGTAAGTGACACACGCTGAGCAGAGGAGCTGGAGAACTGCCAGCCCAAAGCATGTGTGTAAAACACCACTTCTATGAATCTTTAATTCCTGACAGCAGTTGCAGGAACTGTGTATGAGGACTGTCAGCATTCAGTGCCAAAGAGCAGCCTCCAAGAAGTCAGAATTTCAAGGAGCTCGGTATGAAGGTGCATCCTCTCTCCTTTCTAGGTTTTTGGGCTTTGGTTCCAAGCCACTACTACTACAGTGGCACACAGGGGAGTGTTTTATGCTCCTCTCAGTGTACTATCCTCTCAGTGACAGTAACACAAAACATCACTGAATTCATCTTTTAGGTTTTCCCTTTTCCACACTGAGTTGATTCAGCTCTGAAAGGTTCTTACAGGTTGAAAACAACAGACAGAAAAAACCCAGAAACATCATTCCATGATCTATGATCTTTTCACTGTGCTTTTAAAAATGATGATGCAAGACTTAGATCCCAGAACATCCGTGCTGCCTAATCAGATCCCAGAAAACCCACGTTGCCCAACTGGATCCCAGAATACCCATGCTGCTTCGCCTTGTCTGCACAGATGCAAAATCACTGTGTTTCCTACACTCCTTCTCCACTAGCTCCACCTTCAGGGGTCACATTCCTCCTTGAATGACAGCACTGCACCAGGAGCTTGCTTGAGTCTGTCACCACAACCTGTAAGTTTTTTCTAGAGTGCTCCCTCCCCAGCAGTTCATCCAAAGGCAATTTAAACAAATAATAATAACAGGTGTTTGATTACATTGTTTTCCATGGAAAATAATATTGGTAGATGCAGTCTTCCCTTCCCCCTTTATTGAATATGTTGACAGAACTTTCTTTCCAGGAAGGCCCAGCTGTAATAAATGAAGAATTAGAAGAAAAAAATATGCAAAGTAGTACTTATGACAGGAAAGGGATAAATATTAAGGTGGTTGGGGGATACTGCAAGAAAACACAATGCCTAGAAAATAATGCTGGTATGTGAAACAAGAAAGCACATTATTTCTTGAACTGGGAACTTTGCAAAATTCAGAGTTCTTCACAGGGACACAAATAGCACATACTCTATGACAGGTATTCCTGTCAGCTTCTGTAACAGCCTTTTTATCCACCATAGTGGCATCAAAAATAAATGTATCTAATGCTAAATAAAATAACTTCAATGCTATGAAGTACTGTGATCATCTTTAAAAAAAAGGTGCAGTTTGTTATAGATTGCGTTAGTTTTCTATGCTGTTTCCCAAATTAGGATCACAGAAAAGTCTCAGCTGGAAGGTACTTCTGGACCTCCCCTGGCTGAAGGTTGATCAGGTAATGCAGAGGCCCTGGCAGCTCCCCTGCCCACACCAGGAAACACCTACTGCAGGACCCTCTAGGGTTTCTGCTCGAGCGTGGGTTTATTTGGATGCAGCTCTGACCTGTGAGTGACTCCAAAACATGCAGCTCTGTCCTACTGCCCTTCACCTACTGGCACTTTCTGAAACCTTCAGAGGACAGTTTCCACGTTACTGGCTGAGGCTTGTCCCACTAAGGCTCAGTAAAGCTGATAATCTTGTTTCTCTCTTCTCTGATGAGCAAGAGAAAATAACACTGACGTCACTCCTCCAGTTCCACGCTAGCTAGGCTTCTAGCCAGAGTCATTAAAAAAAAAGGAACAAATAAGAACCAGGTTCTTATTCCCCAAACGTATATGCCTCTAAGCTGGAGTTTTTGTGGGTGCCAGGGGATGGTTGTTCCTTGTCCCAGCTGTGTCTCAGGCACTGTCTTTGGCTGCTGGGCAGCACCACCTTCAATGTCAGAGAGAGCCCAGAGGCACTGGGGAGCCAGGCTCCTCCAAGGAGTATCCTGGGGGAGAAGCAAATTGCTGCCCTGGGGAGAAGGCAGATGTCACTATTCACCTCCAAAGGGCTGTTCTTTCCTGTGCAACCCAGCAGCGACCACTTGGACAAAGAGCAGATGTGTTGGCACAACACACAGCCCTGGCGATGGCCACGCGAGCCCTTCTGCTCTGCAGGGAAGGCAGCCCTGCACACACAGATTTCCAAGTACCTAAACACCACTCGTCACCAGCTCATCGCTGGCACCACCTCACACTGCCAGACACTGTCAGACTCTGGAATGGGAGGTGACTCTGAGCCAGCAAGGTTAGTTTTTGGAGGAAGAAAGGCCTTTGACGATCATCTTAAACAAAAGACTGCACATGTGATATTCTACTTCTTTTAGGTGGATGCACCTCTGTGAGACCAGCACATACACATTCCATGGAGTGGAGTTCCAACACTCTTAGTAAAGATGTAATCATCGTCAGGATGGAAACAGCTTATAGCCCCCACGGGTCAAAACCCCCTAATTGAAGAAATTCACCTTCAGTTGAACTAAACTTGTGAAACAAAGAAATTTACCGTGAAATGCTCCTGTGATTTGTAGTTCTCATCCAGGTAAACTCGAGCTCTGTTGTAGTCTTTCATTGCATCACTTGATAACAATTCTCTGAAAGAGAAAGAAGACGTTGAACATGTAAAGGGAGGTGCAATGGTACTGCATTGCCTTGGCATTGCTCTATGCTGTGATGTCCCTGGTATCACTCAAAGGAACTCCTGGGGAAAATGCCAACGGACAGAAGTGTCCCTGGCACAGCCACCTGCCTGGACGCTCCAAAGCTCCCCTCCAGAGCACCAGCACCTCTGACGTGGATCGTGAGTTCCCCAGCGCCGTTTGGACGCGGCTGGGCAGGACGCGGGCCACCGACGCCCACAAAACTCGGCGGATTTGGGCGATTTGTGCTGGAGACCCCAGGGTCTCAGCGTCACCCCCTCCCAGCCCCGGGCCCGCCGCTGCAGCGCCGCCCGCCGCCCGCAGAGGGCGCGCGCGGTCCCGGCTCATCCCCGCACGCCCCCGGTTCGTTCCCGTCTCCCGGGGATTTGGAGGCGATCAGTCAAAACATTCCCGGGGGAGCTCCGCGGTTCCGCCACCGACTGATCGCTCCTGCCCTCGTCCCCGGCCCCGGGCCCGGGGGCGCCCGGCCACGACCCCCCGACACTTACTTCACGAACTTGTCCACGTGAGACATGGAAGCTTCGTAGTTTTTCCCTCCGAATTCTTGACAGTGTAAAGCCATGAAGTGGGGTTTGTGTGCATGGACGACCTGGAACAGAGAGAAAAAGCCAGTTTTAACACAGCATGAACGACACATATCCAGGTGTGTCCCCTGGATGGGGAGGGCTGGCAGCTGCTACCTGAGAGGTAACTGGCACAACAGCAATAAGCAGCAAGGGGAGCATCATTTGCTTCCACATAAAAGAGTCATAATACACAGTAATTATCTCAAGTGTTCTAAGTTAATATTTTCCTCTTTAAACTATAAATTAGTTCCTAGGGATTTATAATACAAATAAACTCGTTCAACTCCCCTCAAAGAGGAGCTGATGTCATTAAGATGATCAAAACCTCTCCTTGTCCGGGAGGTGGAAGAGTTCAAACACCTCAATTAAACTGTTAAGTGGGTTTCTTTCCACTTTTACAAAATTTCCCAATGCTGATTAGCTGCTGTGTTTGATATTTTTATTTACGGAGTATCTTATTTACGAAAGTATTTAAATACCACACACACTATGGTACACACACACACATCGAATACAGGAGGCACAGAAATCCATCACGCTATTCCAGGTGTTAGTCTCATACACTGCAAATATCTTAGGTACTAAACAGTCAGCACTAGGACACAAATACCCTACCAAAAACCTAGAATGCTTCTGTCTTCCATCGTGCATCAAATCAAATACACAGTGTTTATAAATTTGCTGCTGCTTTGAACACACATTCCATGTTAATCTGTCCTATGGAATTCTCTCTGTGCTGTCTCTATTCAGCACTTTAAACACCACATCTAAAATGTCTCTGTGTTGATATTGAGTCTCTACAATCTGTTTTCCACGTCTTACTGTGAATTAACAGACACAAGCTGCAGAACTACTTCCATTCTAAAAGCGAGCAGTCTGAAACAATAAATGATGCAAGCACACGGGGAGAGAACAACCTAAAATCCGAAACAGGATTCCCTTATTTCTGACAGGTGGCCCTGGGCAGTTCCAGCCAGCACAGCCCCACGCTGTCCCTGCAGCCATTGCGAGGAAGAACAGCTGGATCCCAACAGCTGCTCCCAGCACGATCACGAACCAGCTGCCCTGTGCAGGCCTTGGCTGCAGGCTCGGGTGCTCCACATGTGGGGGGCACAGCACCTCTCCCACTCCTGCTGGGGCAGAGCTGTGTGGGAGGTGGGCACGGGGACTGGAGAGCTCTCCCCTCAACACCCCCCAGGGAAGGACAGCTGACAAAACAAAGGGATTGCTTTCCCCTTGTACTCATTGCCTACCCTACAACTCTGAAAAGGCACAGACACAGTAAACCACTGCAGTCTTACTTTTAATTATGTAAATCAAAAGTGACTAATGTTACTGTTAAAAGGTCTTTTCTTGTTCCATGCCCCTGCCATGGGCAGAGACTCCTTCCACTAGACCAGGTTGCTCCAAGCCACATCCAAACTGGCCTGGAACACTTCTAGGGATGGGACACCTGAACTGGAAGTTGTGGATGTTTCTTTTAAACCACAGTAGAGAGAAATTTCCATTTGATCTGATGACAGAGTACAAAATCCCTCCTTCCCAACTGCACAAATAATCTCATCAGACAATCAAGCTCAAAGACAACGAACTAAAGATCAGCAAAATCCAAACCACAGCAGCTTAGCACTGAGCCAGAAGCAGTCACAGGGCCCTGCTCTGAGCTGGCACCTTCTCATGACAGCAGCAGAGCTGCCCCGCTCGGGGACGTGCTGTGGCAGGGAGGGCCCAGGCAGGAGACAGTGCCAGTCCTCTCGGGAGCACACGCCCATGTGCCCATCGGGCACAAGAGGGCAAGGTGACAGTCAGAGAGGTGTATCACCAGCTGGTGGCACATCCATCCTCAGGGACATCCCTGGAACACTGCTCTCCATCAGTGCCCGGAGCAGTCCCTGTCAGTGGGAGCAGCCAGGGCCAGCAGCAGAGGGGGCGGTGGGACAGCAGCCACAGGGTTCAGCGAGGAGAGGCCTGGCAGTGGCTCAAGCACACCAAAGCCAAGGGGAACCCAGAGTACCGCTGTGTCCAGGTCCCAGGGAATTACAGCATTGCCAGTCTACACTGGGTCAGCCTCGAGGATGGAGGGAATGTCCTGCTGTGTGCCTCGAGTGACTTCAGACAGTTACTTCCTCCTCTGTACCTCAGCTTCCCTGTCACTGAAACACATCTTGGCACTGACCTGCTCACTGAAGCACTCAGAGGAGCTGCTGTCAGTGTTACAGTATAAAGGGAAAAAGCAAGTACTCCCACTTAGGTGTTTGAGGGTCTTTGAGCACTTTCATTAGCTCATTAATGCTGGTCTTTGCAAAAAGGATATCAGAAATCTTGCTTAAAACAGATCATCACTGGTAGGGACCAGGAATGAGCCAGAGCAGGACCCAAAGGAAAATCTAATTAGAATAAACAAAACCAGCATGCAGGTGACAGACCAGGTGGCTAAAAAACTCCCTGAACCACAAGACATGATACCCAACTGGGAGATACATACTTCCCATAACTATGAAAGCTTAAGTAATACTAGTTGATTTTATAGGTTTACAAACAGCTAAGAGAAAGTTGCTGAGAAAGCATCCCTGTGCAGATGCTCCCTCCTTTCTTCCCAGGGTGCCTGCCCAAGGGACCACAGACAGCAGCCTGTCGTCACAGAGTGCAGCAGCAGTGAAGGACTATGGAGCACCCTTACTTTACCTGGTTGGTTCATTTTGTTCACTACCTGGAGAGAAATACTAACCAAACACAGCCCACGGAGTGGAACTTCAGAACAGAGCTCATCTGTGGTCCCCAACACAATGCCACCCCAATTCTCCATCTGCTTTATTGCTCCAAATCAGTTCTGGACTCTACATCCTGATCTCATCTACTTGGACAGCTCTATGAAGTTACCATCACCAAGCAGTTGTAATTATTTAATCTTGTAGTCCATCCACTCTCGCTGTTCCAGGGCAATGCACCCAGTAACACCAACTGTGGGCACAGCAGAACCAGCACCGTGTTACTCATTTTAACTACAACAAGTTTGCCTCAGTACGAGCTCTTCTTACACAGCTAATGAAACTAATGAACTGGTAAGACAAAAGTAAAATAAACAATTTCATGTAAGGTCTAGGCACAAACTATCTCGCATTCATGATCAGTCACAGGGAGCCCTGAATAGGGAAGTCCTGCCTTGGGAAAACACTGAAGAGCAATTCCACTGAGCTGCAGCAGCAACAGAACTCTGAACTGAGACACAGAACACAGGTTTTTTGGTTTGCATTTAAATCCTTGAGAACTTGAAATCACAGTGGGTATTAAAAAAACCCAAAGAAAACAAAACAAAGCAAAACAAACAAACAAACAAACAAAAATTATATTGATGAGGATATATCCACAGGGAAACAGCACTGGCTTAGTAGAGGTTGTCATGGCATTCCTTGCAGGTTAAGCCACTAAAGCATACCTGAATATTAGTTATGTCTTCTCATATAATAAAACTCCTCCAACTAAGAGCAAATTGGTTCCGCTTCATTACCTTTTACTAGTTTTCTACTCTTATGGAGAACAAACAGTACATAATAATGAGTAATGAATACTTCAGAGTAGAAAACTCCCAGTTGCCAGAGGTTAAAGATCATACATGAAACCAACATAAACACGTAATTTGCATTCGCAGCAGCACAACGTTTTTACCAAGTTGGGCATTATTCTCAATTTCTGGATACACAAAAATAGCATAAAGGAAGCCACAATCAGGAGTTATTTTGGGGAACGTGGGTAACTGAGCAAGATGCTCCAACATAGCCAAATGAATATAAAACTGGTGAAAAGCACAAACCTGACACCTTCCCACTGCTACAGGTCTTTGCCTGTTTTGGAGAGGGGATGGGGAGGTGACCCTGGCAGTGGGGGTGCCCTGGGCCCAGAGTGCCACAGGGCAGGGTGGGTCAGGGTCTCCTGGAGCTGGGACAGGAGCTGCCAGCCAGGCCTCCCTGGAGCGAGGGCACCAGAGCGAGGGCACCAGGCTCAGACCCCATTCAAGCAAGGCACAAGAGGAGCCTGAGCCTTCACTGCCCATACACAGGACTGCTCAAAAAACCTAACAAAGTATGAGCTTTGGCTTCCTTGTGAGCTGTGAAATATGTACAAGTCAATATATCACGTGTGGTCTCAAAGCAATCCAAGTCTTCACAATTTCTGTAAGTCTGAAGAAATAAAAAAAAGGCACCTTCCAGGGACTGCACACCCAGAGGCCTGTGGTGATGCCCCAGCAGCTCAGGTCCTCATCCCTACCCTGGACAGAGGCCATGGATTCAAACCAACCAGAAAACCCTCAAATGGCCCCACCTGAGGAAAAGCTTCAGGAAAGAAGAAACATCCACAACTTCCAGTACTCTGAGAAAGGGCCAAGACCTCAGCTCACAAGAGCTGCTGGGGGCTGCAACAGAGCTTTCTGGTTAATCACCTTCTCTAATAAAACAAACAGCATTAATTCCACTAAAATAATTAAGCAATAACCTTTGAGTGGCTGGGTGGGTTTTTGTTGTATTTGGGGTTTTTTTGTTTGGTTGGTTTGAGGGCTTTTTATTTGTTATTTTCTTCCTTCTTCTTTCTTTCTAAAGTAACACACCAAGTTCCCACGTGGCAATACCAAGATGACCTTTAGCTTTTAGGTAAACTCTTCACTTCTGTGTAACTACAAGTAAATGCTCAAAATACTCTCAAACACATCAGGCAACATGGAAAATTGCACTAGGGGAAAAAAGCCCTCTGCCTCCAGGCTTTCATCTAAAATGACCGTCTGCCACGAACACAACACAAAAGACTGTTACTAAAATTAGTGAAGGTTTGCAATAGCTCCAGCTCTTGAACTCTTCCTGCCCAGTGCAGCTGGAGAAAGGACAAGGTATGGGGAAGGAGGGGGTGAAAAGGAAAGAAAGCCCTAAGTAAATAAATAAGTCAATAAAAGTCCTTTCTCTGTGCTCCTACACATATTCACCCACACACACACACACTTGCAAACAGCTTCCTCTATGCTCTTGAAGCTTCTTGTTCCCCTGTACTTTTTCCTGTGCACTGACACAGAGGCTGTGAGCTGGGGCAAGGGCACTTTGCATGACTGGGACAAAATTCTTACACACACATTCTGTGAATATTCTCATTTGCACAACAGCTAGTTCATCAAATCATCCCATTTCTTGATAAGCACCAAACTCTTCCCCATCACAAATAAAATGCTCCAAACCACCTGTTCTCAGGCATTTTCCATTCTCCCCCAACAAACCCTTTCCCTCCTTGTTTCCAAGATAGGTTCTTGGGTAAGAGAATTTTTACTGGAAAGAGGACTAGAGTCCAAATTAAACTATTTCACACTCAAGTCTGACACCTCTTGCAAGCCACCAGTCACAGGAGAAAACACCCAAAGCAAGGACACTCCTGGCAGGCAAAGTGTCTTCTCTGCTCACCTCTACCTGATATTTAGCAAAACAGAAGCTTGGTGTTTGTTCTCCTCCTTTAAGCTCCTTTCCAACCCTTAACATTCTAGGACTCTATGAAATATCTGGGACTGAGTCCAGTTGAACTCCTGTTTCATTTAGTTTTACTCTTCCCTGGGGGAAAAGCAGCAACTAATAGCAAACTGGTAGAAAATTACACCTTAAATCCATTTTAAACTACCCAGTCAGCTGTCACCCAAATGAAGGCTCCACTTCTATAGGACTGCAGGTGGATGAATCCAAGGCAACCAGATCAGAGAGGACAACACCTCTCAGCTACATCCACTGTGCTGTCAGCTGGTGGCTCTCTGGGCTGGGAGCTGCTGCTAAAACCAGCTCTGAAAAGGTCTTTGAAAAAAATTTTTTTTCCTGTTTGTATTTCTTGGACAAACTGTTTAATTTAACAGGATTAGATCTTCCATATTTTTCATATTAATAACATAGGTTATTTGTAGATCGATGGCAGAAGTTTAAAAAATTTAGTATGTGACATTTTAATGTTATTTTAGCCCTCCATATGCTGCCATGTCCTCAGAAATGCATATGGCTTGTCAATCAGTGATAATACGTGACTTGTATTTACCCATCACAGCAATTAAAATCCCTTATTTTAATTTACTGGAACTTAAAAACAAGCCCCCAAAATGCTCTGTAACTGATACACCCTCTGACATCAACTGAAAAGACATTACAGATTTAATTTCTAGAAACATTTTAAACTAAGAGTAGTAATGGTGCTTCCTTTTCCGTGGAGAACATTTTGACTACTTACACAAGGACCTCATCCTCTGAAGTTATGCAAACTGCCCTGACACAACTACATATGCAAATTGAATTCCTCAGAAGAATGGAAAAAACTGTGGTCTGCGGTTTATCTGGTTTCAAGTTTACGAAGAAACACGAAGAGTCATTTTCCAGCGATGATGCTGAACCTCAGTTCGCAGGGTTTGTGCACAGAGCGTGTGGAACTACACACAGCAATCCCCCCCTGAAGCTGCACATTCACTGGGTCGCTCTGCAGCCCGAGCTAGGATGGTGCTGAGCGACTTTTGGTACAGCCACGTTCGTCTCTTCCCTAAGGAGCTTTTTGTCGAGTTTTGTTCCACTTCCTACTGCACGGGAGAGCGCGGTGTGAGCAGCCACCCTGTGCAGGGACGAGAGGGGAAGTAGGATAAGGGCCCGCATGGCACGGCTGGCTCTGACCACACACAGCACTGCTAGCCTTGTCCTGGCTACTCTTCCTCTCTTTTCAAAACACAGCTCTCAGGCTGCAGGGACAGAGGGCAGAGACGTGGAGGGGGAGAGGGGATGTTGCAGAGCCCCCACAGCTGAGGGACAGGCTCGGATCTGCCTCAGTGACACTTTCCCTGGTGGAGACTCTGCCCTCGACCGGCCTCGTGGAGAGTTAATGGATCACTACCTTCCTGTTTGGAATTCTCCAAACACAATATTCACTGGACCAAAGACAGACCACATCCAGTCACACGTCAGTGGTCCCTGCCTTAAGATAGCAGCAGCTCATTCTATTCCCCTCCTCTTCCTGTTTTCCACAAACTATTCAGAAGCACTTCCATAGAGCTCATCCTGCTTCAGTAAACAAGGGAACAGGGAAGGAGTCTCCTCGATAAAGATACATAAATAAGTCAGGTGATGCTGAAAAATATGCAGCTATCAAAAAAAACAAAACAAAACAAATTAAATAAAAAGAGTTCTGTTTATTTGTATTTCTCTTCAGGAAGAGTTTTCCTGAAGCCGCGGAGGGTTGGAATCAAAGCTGGCTGAGGTGCCTGTGCAGAGCAAGCACCATGTACATACAGCATTGCATCAATCAAGATGGAAGAAAAATAAACAGATGAATCTGAACTTGGCAGATACTGAAGAATGCAGGATTGATTAGTGCACCTCGGATTTTTGCAAATCATTTACATTTGCCAGAAAAAGCAAACTGCAGTATTTTACACAGTGCAATAAGGGTCCCAAGTTGCACCAGTAACTGGAGAGTGTAAAGAAGTACAGGGCGTGTTCAGTTACTAAAAGCAAAAGACAAAATACTGCTAATGATCTTTGCTGCACACAGTTTCAGTTTAAAACTTGAAAACCACAATTCTGTCGCTTTAACCATTTTTCTATGAGAGAAGTAGGACTGAATAAAGAAATCCTGTGGCCCTTTAGTACCACGTGGTTCCTTTCAGTGGCCAGGCTGGACAAGGCTTTGAGCAACCTGGTCTAGTGGAAGGTGCCCCTGCCCATGGCAGCGGGTGGAACAAGATGGGCTTTACAGTCCTTCCCAACTCAAACCATTCTGTGAGTCTGTGACTCTGACTCTCAATTGTGGCAGCTGTGGCACCAGCTCTTGGAGAGACACAGCGCTCGTGCTGCTTCCCAGGGATGACACCTTCGAGCCCCACCAGTGCTCATTTCCTGTTGCTTATTTCCATGTTTCTGCATGTCTGCTAGTTAAACAAGTCTTTGCTACATCAACACAGTGTGTCAGAGGACCTTTTATACTTTTAAAATAAACCTCACACCCAAAGTTTACAGAACACTCTATAACATGGTTTCAGTGTCATACTGCCCAAACAAGAAAATTTTCAGAAAGAGCAGACATAGGACTGATCTATTACAAACCAATGCCAGAAATTGTCATATTTCAATATTACGGTAAACTAGACTTCCCAACAGATTTCTTTTTTTTTTTTTAAAATACTCAAATACCTCTTTTACTCGTAAGATCTGAAAGACCAATGCCAAACTAAAGTGAATTTTATAAAACATCAATCCTTTTTTTAAGGCAGAGTATTGTCAACACGAGCAAACAGTGTTCATATGCTGCATTTTTATAATGATTACTTAGAAATCCAGAAAGAGACATTTTTCAGGGCTGTTTTTTACCTTAGTTAGTGATTACACTTCACAAAGCAAAAGATCCTGACACTACAAATTATGCCAATAAGCAAGTGTGCACAAAACTCCATAAGAAAATAAGCTTTACCTTACCTGATAAAATTCCCGAAGCCAATTCTTCTGCAAATTTTCTGGCTGAAAAACAAAAGACAAAAATTAATTAGGAACAGGAGTAATGTATTTTTTAATAATATCCCAATACTGAATTGCTTTCTTCAGTATCTTCAAGTGGGGATTTTTTTTTTTTTTTTCCCCACAATTAAAGCAAAAAGTACAAACACGAGGATGCTTCATCCACGATGCCAACGGACAACGCCTTTCGTTTCCAAATCTCCTCTGATTCTCACCAAGAAGGCACATTTTTGTATAGGACTGCACAGCATTTGTACCCACACAGGTTTATCAGGCAATTAAACCAGCAGACTTGATTTGTGTTGAAATACGTCCTGTTACATGGGCACATTCATCACCTGGGGGATAAGAAACTTCACCGACCCGCCCACACCCAGCCACCTGAGCTGCAAGGGACCTGGATTTACTTCTAACAAACTGGGTCAGAGGGATGACGGTGCTTCTGCAGGATGCTCGAGTCCATTAGAGCTCCTGCCAAGGACAAGACTGGCAGAAGCATTTCCAGATTGCTACAGAAGTTATGAAAACCAAAGCGGCAAAACCACAGTAAGTGCAAAGATCTGTCCTTTTCAGCATTAGAGCCTGGCCTAGACATGCTCACAGAGGGAAAGAATTGATCTGTTGAGCTTTATCTTCAACAACAAGACTTCTGGATAATTTTTGCATCCTGGTGGGGAATAAAAACTCCGATGAGGTTTTCCTGTCACAGCAGTGGCAGGACCATGAAGTATTTGTGGGAGTCAGCAGAACATATCAAACAAAGCCAGAGAGATGCCTCAACATCATCCCTTACAAACAGCTCCAACACCACCTGTCCAGAGGCAAACACACAGGCATGAAACCCCTGTTTCGCTCTATTCTCCCATGAAATGTGTTATTTTCACATGGTTGGATACAACTTTGAATTTACTACTTTATCCTGCCTGCTTGTTGCACGAAGGTTTGCCCACAGGTACTGTAATGATTTGTAAGGCTGAAACATCCTGTGAGCCTCAAGAGTTTGTGAAAGCTAAGGGGAAAAGATGCCACATTTGTCCCATTCTACCCGTCACCTCCCTTTGTTATTCATCCTTTGACAATTCTGGAATTGAGACATTACTGGTCAAGAAGGTGAAATTTCCTCTCCTTAGGAACAATTATTTTCCCCTAGTGATGAACACTCTCCATATTCCCTATGGAAGCCCTCACTCTGGGTGCAGAGCTTGAACCTTGGCCCAAGCTGAGGGTCAGCCTAAATTAATACACAGAGAGAACACAACATCCCTTTCTCCCTCCTGTGCCCTTCCCCTGGGCCAGCACAGCTCACTGCCAGCACAGATAAACCTTGTGTCCACCAGGCAGGCCGTAAAACTGACCTACAAGAAATGCCCACCAGGAACCGCTTGTTTACCAGCTTAACTCTTCTCCCTCTCGTCCTGAATGTAGTGAGACAACCCGCTGAAGAACAGTAAGGGCTGTTGCTCTTATAATAGCCAAAGAGAAACCAAGCAAATCAGGAGCTGCGGCGACTTCAAGACAACTTCAGGTTGAAGTTACGAAGAGGGCACAGGACTTACTGACGGTTTGTTTTTTTTAATCCCTCTATAAAACATGTATGACCTGAGAACATGCTTTGTATATGATTTATGGTCTAAATGAAGAGGCCAGACTCAAACCATCAAATAAACAAGACTGGGGATTTTGACACCTCCCATTAAAGCCCAGCATGGGGCTCTGGCGCAGCTCTGACAGCACCAGGTGCTGATGTCCAAACCAGAGTGGAGCCTCACTCAGCACTGGGTATTTTTGATCTTAAGAAACAAACAACCCAGGCATTTCTCACTCCCCTTTATTTGTGATAGTCACAAGATGTCCTGGGGATTACTTGTCATCTGCAGGGAACCTGAGAATCATTTGGGTTCGGTAAGACCTCCAAAATCATGGAGTCCAACCGTTCCCCCAGCACTGCCAACCCACCACTAATCCATATCCCCAGGTGCCACATCCACACAGTTTTTAAATTTCTCCAGGGATGGGACTCCACCACTATGCTGGGCAGCTGTGCCACAGCCAGACAAGCCTTTCGGTGATGGAAGTTTCTCCAGTATGCAACCTAAACCTCCCCTGGTGCAACTTGAGGCTGTTTCCTTTCGTCCTGTCACTTGTGACCCAGGAGAAGAGCCCAACTCCCACCTGGCTCCAACCCTGTTTCAGGAAGTTACAGAGAGCAAGGAGGTCCCCTGAGCACAAGACCCTTGCACAAGAGAGACTATAAACAGAGCATCGCTGTACCCATCCCCAACTCCCACTGGAGGAGATATAAATTCATATGTAATACCCAGAGCTCCCAAGAAAATTCCAATCTCAAACCTACATCAAAAAAACCCCACAACAGCTACATTTGAAGGCAGACCAGGAATGGATTTTCAGCGTGAGCAGGACTCAGCCACAAGTGACAAATCAAAGCTCCCAGTGGCACTCCTGCTGCCACATTTCACTGCTACAGTCTCTACCAGTTCCTGGATTAGTGAAAAAGCAGGGGTAGCATGCAAATAGGGAGAACAGTGCTTTGGAGTTCAGGTTTTGTTTGTTTGTTTTTAAAAAGTCTTTATTTTCTTCTTATTTTTAACTCCAGGAGTAAGTACCTGGAAGCCCTGGAAGCCCATGGCAGATGTCCCTCATAGAGCTGCTGTGCACTGTCCCCAGGTGCATCGAGAACTTCAGCTCTGGAAGAATGGTCACTGTCTCACCAACGGCCTGGAAAACCCACACCTGACTCCCGTGAAACCCAACAAACTAACCAATGAAAAGAACAAAGGCTCAGAGGGAATGGATTTATGGAAATGATTGCAGAACCAAGCCAGGTACAATGAGATGATGCAAGTCACCAAAAGCTGCAGGACCTTCCCCTTTTCCCCTTTTTCTTCCTTTCTAAGATGCACTACAAAAAAGGCAGCAAAGTGGCAGAGTCGGGAGAGCAAATCGGGGTGAGGGATGTTGGAGAGAGGCGTGAGGCCGAGGTCCCTGGGCCACCTGTGGGGTCAGGCCCCATCCCCACCCGGGCTGAGGAGCATTGCCCTGTGTCCTGTCCTGCCCCGGAGGCAGCAGCATGGAGATGTGGAGCTGAACACGGGCTGCAGCTGCATGCCCAGCTCCAAGGGGCCGGATTTAAACAAGTTGATCCCATGGAGGGTTGTTAAACTGTGCCATCCTGGGTGAGAAGCGAGGGGTCAAGTGAACATCACTGCTCTCAGAACGGAGATTCCTTGACACAGGAACAGCAGGTGGCAAAAGCCCAGTGAAAAAAACATGAAGAGGTGCTGAACAAGGCTGTCGCGTGCAGATTCATTCCTTCTGGGATCCCACAGACACACAGGAAGGTTTGAAGAGGTGATGACAGAAATACAAATTGGAGTAGGAGAAAGAAGCAGCACTGGAAGGTACTCGTTAAGTCCCTGGGCAGGCAGTTCCGACAGAGCAGGTGCTAACGAGGTCTCCAGGGCTGCCAACACGGACTCCTCTGCCCAGGCTGGTTTTTGGTGAGTCCTGTGGCTGCTGTGATTCCCTCAGCTGCCCACAGCTTGGGCTGTCACCTCAACACTCTGCTGCCCAGCTCCCCACTGCCACACCCTCCTCCAACAGTCCCTCCTACGGCACAACCACTTCCTTTCCTTCCATTTTTACCACTGAGTGGTACAATTCTGTAACCGAGCCCTCTGCCTCAGACTCCTCCCCAGTCACCTCCTATAAATGAAACAATTTGAAGTTTTGAAGGACTGGAGATAACAATCAAGTAGAAAGATAATTTATCATCCTCTTATTTTTCTGCCTAAAAATAGACACATTATATTTCATGTCTTACACAGACTCTGGCCTTCTTCCCATCCTTTCTCTCCACCCTCTGTCCTTCATTAAATTATCTCATTCTTTTTGTAACGTAACGGAAATTAATCTTTTCCCCGTCATCTTCAATGCTAAGTTCTTTCATATCATTCACCGATGGACCAATGTCTCCCCACTCACTAATCCCAACCCCACCTTATCAGCCTCCTTTCTGGCTTCCCCCATCTCCAGCCCTGTGCCAGCTGGTTGCCCTGGGTCCTTCTCCCCTGTCCACACCGCAGCCTCAGCTCATGCCCTTGGGCGATCAGCCAAAGAGCAACAGCTCGAGGAACGGCAGGAGAGACAAAAGAAAGCAAAACGTTTGGGACAGATACTAACAATTTGTTTGGAATATCACGGAATCACAGAATGGTTTGGGCTGGAAGGGACCTTAAACCTCACCTCATTCCAACCCCCTGTTTTGGGCAGGGACATCTTCCACTAGACCAGGTTGCTCCTAGCCACATCCAACCTGGCCTTGGACACTTCCAGGGATAGGGCAGTCACAGCTTCTCTGGGCAACCCGTGCCAGGGCCTCAGCACCCTCACAGGGAAGAATTCCTTCCTCATATCCCATCTAACCCTGCCCTCTGGCAGAGGGAACCCATTCCCCCTTGTTGTGTCCTTCCAGGCCCTTGTCCCAAGTCCCTCTCCAGCTCTCTTGGAGCCCCTTTAGGCACTGGAAGGGGCTCAAAGGTCTCCCCACAGCCTTGTCTGCTCCAGGGCTCTCTCTCAAGCAGTCAGTGCTCTTCTTTCCCACCACTCTCCCTTGCCCTCATGACTCAGGTCCCAGGTCACTCTGCCCTGTGCCCATATCCCTTCCTGGGAACAAGCCTGGTCCGCATGGATTCCTCAGGGTTCTTTGCCCGCTTTAAGCTCAGGCTGCTCCTCAAACATGCACCAAATTCTGACATTCTCTGAGCTCTGCAAACACCCCAAAGCCCAGGGGAGCATGGCTCTGGTTTCATCCTACCTTCCCATCAGGCACACATTTTGACTCCATAGAGCCACAAATAGAAACCCTTCCCAAAAAGAAAACCTTTCCTCCCAAACATGCACGCCTTCCAGACGGCAGCACCACGTGGGATCCATGTTAAAATAACAGGACATGTGTCCTGTGTGCGCTGCTCCCTTCAATTAAA